GTGCACATTAAATTGAGGCACTGCCCTGGCTCAGTGCTAGGAAATCATGGGAACTGTAATTTATTGTGGCACCAGAACTCTCTGACAGAGAAGGCTCAATGTTTCAGAAAAAAAATACAATTCCCATGACTCCCTAGCACTGAGACAGGGCAGTGCCTCAATTTAATGTGCACTATTACTGGCAGTCTGCAAAGGCCCTATGTTGCAGAATTTTGAGCATGATTTTGCTTGCGTGGGAGATCAGCACTACGGTCCTATAGTTGCTGCAGTCTCTTATGTATCCCTTTTTGTGGATGGGGATGTATATTGATCAGTTCCAATCTGTTGGCCATCATTTTGTTTTCCATATGTTGGTTAGCACTAAAGTTGACTCTGTCAATGTGAATTTGCAGCAGTTCAATTGGAATATTATCTGTTCCTGGTGATTTGTTTTTTGCTATTTCTCTTATTGCAGTTTCCACCTCACTTTTTAGAGTTTGGGGTTCAGCTTCATATGGCTCTTCATTCCATGTGTCCTTCTTTTTGTCATCTCTTTTGTATAGTTCTTCTGTGTATTGCATCCAACATCTTTTTATTCCTCCGTGGTCTTGAATTATATTATTTTTATTGTCATAGATCGTCCCAGTCCTTTGTTTGAATTTTCCTTTGATTTCCTAGATCTTGTGAAACAGATCTCTTGTTCTTCTCATTTTGTTGTTCTCTTCTATTTCTCTGCATTGGTTGTCATAGTAATTGTCTTTATCTTTCTGCACAAGCCATACTGTTGCATTCATAATTCTTAGTATGTTCCTATCTCCCTTTTGTTTTTCTTCTCTTCTTTATTGTTTGTAGTGTTTTTTCTGTCATCCATGGTTTTTGCTCTTTCTTTTTGTTTACTGAATGTGTCTGTCTGCATTCTTCTTTTATTATGTCTCCAGCTTCAGACCATACTTCCTCTGGTTCTTGGTCTATTCTGCTTAGTAATGTGAATCTGTTTCTTATGTTATCAGTAAATTCTGTTGAGATATTAGATCATATTTTGGTATAATCACTAGTTTTGTTTTCTTCTTGAGTCTTACTCTTATTTTTATTATGAGTAATTCATTATCTGTGCCAAAGTCAATGCCTGGTCTAGTCTTGGCCACCAGTATAGAGTTCCGCCATCTTTTACTTCCGATTATATAATAGACATAGACATGGGCACATATTTAAGCTTCACTCCTGAACAATTGTTTTACACCCAGTAGTTTTCCAGACCTCCATGTACTGAGCATGGTGGTCTGGACAGGTCTCTGTAAGTTAGTTAAATATGATTACTGAGTTCCCATGACTTATAGGCCACCTTATAGGGTATCCAACAGGATTGACAGAGGGAAAACTATAAAGGGCCCCTGTACCTTTAATCATTGTGTAGAAAGGAGAAACTCAGCAGGTCTTGTTTGCTTGCACAACAACCAACACCTATTGAAATTTCCTCTTCTACACAACCATTAAAGATACAAGACACCCCACCAGTTTTTAGTCTGGCAACCCCAGATCCCAATAACAGAACAATATAACCCTATTCAGCAGAGCTCTATCCAGTTCTTTACATTTAGCACATAAATATCTGGGAAGTTCCCAGCATGTAAAATGTTTGAGGTGTGTAGATTATGTGCCCACATCCCTGCCTCGAAATTAGCCCCTACACTCGAACAGGCAAATACTTGCAGAGGGCCAGGGAGATATATAGGGAAGAGTGGTTGGAGGAAGAGCACAAAGGCACTTAAAAGGGAAAGCATTATTGTCTTTGTATGATTTATTTTTATAATATCTTAAGTGCTACCATTGCATTTGCAGCTTAACATACTATTGACTATTATGTACTATCTCCTAAATTAATTTTTTTTAATGTTTATTTCTTTAATTTATATCCCACTTCTCCCAATATGGGAGTTAAAGAGGCTTACAATAAGTTATAACAAAATAGCTACAACAATATAGATGACTAAGAGGCAGAACAGACTACCCCTTTGAATGCCAGGTTGAGGCCGTGGCGACCACATGCCCCCAATCTGGCTTTTTGCTGGCACAAAAAGAAGCGACAAATTGCTGCTCCTTTTTGAGCCAGCAAAAAGACGGCTTTTCCAGTGGTGGCATTGCTTTGCAGCACTCCTGCGGTGTGCAGCATGTAAACGCCATGCTGCTAAATCACCATCATGCCAGCTTTTGGGTGGCGTCAGAGTGGGCGGCATCTAAACGCCATGCTCTGACACCATCCTGAAGCCGGTGCAAAGAGGTGTTCTGTTCTGCCCCAAAGTTTTATTTAAAATACACAAAACATATCTTCTAGGTTTTATAAAATGCTACACAAAGTTGTAAAATACCATGTATTGATAATACAATCTGTACTTGTTCAAGAAATAACTCAAGAATTAGTGCTGGCAAACTAGACTGAAGTCAGTTACAGTCAGCCCTTCACATTCACAAATTTGACTATTTGCAGATTTGTAGCTGCTGCTTGTAGCTACCTTGACCTGTCCCCTTCCTCCTCCTCCTCTCAATCTCTTGTCCTTCCAAATGAGCCATCCAATAAGATTCAATAGATTCACATGATGGTGTTGTCAGGTTCAAATTACAGTTTCTTTATAAAATTCATGTGGTCACCATGAGCCAACTGCAACCTCTTAGTTTAACCTAGTTAATACGATTGTTCTCAGGATTAAGGTGGGGATGGTGAAAAGAATGTATAACCAAGAGGTAAACCAAACTAAATTAGCTGAAATACATATAGTTGGAGATAATAATGATGTTCATGCAGAAATATGCATTTCCAACAGCCTTTCAGCCTCTCACTTAAGCTACAATCCCATACATGTGAGCATAGACCCCACTGAACTCATTTGGGCTTATATTTGAGTAAATATGTGTATCATTTCATTGTTAGTTGAAACAGAATATTACTCTATAAAGGCAAATTTTATCTCACACACAAATGCACAAACACACACACTCATCCCCTCTCTCATACTCTGTTCCCTACCACCACACTTTTATTAAGATATGCACCTACCCACAGGCTGAAGGAGAAATTATGACTTACTTGTTGCTATGTCATCAACTACCAGTTAACTCCTCCTGTATACCAAGAGCAACAGGGTGTAGCCAAGCAATTTCTATACACATGCCAAAGAGAGACTCTCATTCTCCTCCCACTTTGATTGGTTGCTGGGTACTCAGGAGATAAACATTCACTAGTTTTAAGGCAGAGGCTCAGACATCCAGTGATTTGTAT